CTATATATATATATATATATATATATATATATATATATATATATATATATATATATATATATATATATATATATATATATATATATAAGTTAAATATCGACAATTTTAATTGTAGGTGGGATAGATAGAAAACATCCAACACTAATGTAGTTGAATAGGTAGGCGCGTAAGTTTATTGCTTCTATTTTTTTCTTGCACACAAACACACACACAAACAAATACATACATATACAAGCATTTGAGCGTAATTTTATTTTCACAACACATCACCTAAATTTATAATCACTAAGGTTGAGAGTAATTTAATGTCATAGGTAGTTAAGGGCAATAATGTAATGATAGGAACAATCTTGTAACGTAAATTAAGTAAACGTTGTATGTGTATAAACAGGTAGGTTAATTATTAAGTAAACTAAACATTATTATCATTAGGTTGGAGCCCATTATATACATATAGACCTCGACGTGTATTAATTATATCCACACATACAAGCCAGGTTTCTTTCATTTTGAGGAAATGATAAAAATTCGAACGGAAATTATCATTAATTAATAAAACCTAATTAAACAAAATAGCTGACATTTAATTACATTAAAAACAACGAAATATTTCTTATTTGGTAAGATTTAATAAAATAAAATAAAAGAAAAATGAAAGTAAAATAATTTAAGAATAATTATCATCAATAGCAGCTTGCTTGGATAAATATAAAACACATGTCCACCATCAAGTGGACAACACAAATTGATAATTTAATAATAAATAAATAAATAAGTACATAAATAAAAAAATAATAAATTAAATATGGCAGCTGTACTAATGAAACATTTGGCAATTTTTCACTATTTTTACAGCACTAAAAACAGTGTTGTTGTTACTTCTCGTTACTACAGATGGAAGAAATATTCGGCTGCCATTATTATTTGTATTATTATTCATATCATTATTTATATTATTATTATTATTGATAATTATTATACTATTACTCGAGCTATTATTATTATTATTAATTAAAGAATTGTTGAATTCTGAACTCGAAGGCCGGACATATGTCATCTGCTGCTGTTGTTGTGATACTGATATATTCGTTACCATAGGAACAGTCAGTGAAGATGATGCGCTTTCTCCAGATTGAACTTTATTTTTGTCGTTTGACACGCGCCTAAGTAATTCTTTTTTCAGGGTTGCTAATTCCTGAGATAAATCATCAATCCTCTTTTCCAGTTCATCATTTTCTTCTCTCAATATTGTCATCTTGTCCTGCGTTTCTTTAGTTTTCTGACGACTTTTTTCTCGACTTTTTTTAACAGCCATATTATTACGAACTCTTTTCAGTCGGTAGATGTCCTCCGCGCTTAACGACTCCGATTGTTCCTGATTAGAAATAGGCGAAAAGTTGGTATCGCAATTGTTATCGCCGTTTTGATTGGTTTTCGGCCGAGGACTCATGATTTTTTCAATCTTCAATGACAAAATAGTCCGAACGTTATATTGAATTAAATAATATGTAATATAAATGTATCTTTGAACGAAATTTCATCGCGATAAAACCAAACAAACACGCAGCGCAGAACAATTATAATAATTTATTAACTGAAAAATAAACAATACGAAAGTAGTGGTAAAATATTATTAATTTTAATTAAATTATTTTGTTTTTAAAATAAATGTAAAATAATCAAAATACATTTATTAATTCAAAAATACTAAAAATTGAAGTTTATTGTTGTTCAATTTGTCTGGAAAACAGTCAGAGTTTATTTTGAATGTCGATTCACTTTTAAACAAAATTTTAGTGCTGGTTTTAAAGACTCGTAATGCCTTGATCGTTTTTTCCGTTTTAAATAATTAGGGAATCATTTTTTTACTATTTAATTTTTATTTCTTCAACAACATCTAGCAACTCATTTGCCATGAAATCTTCGAAATTAAACAAAAAAGTTCATTTTCGCGATGTCACAGTGTTTTACTTTCCCAGAGCTCAGGGATTTGTCTCAGTACCCAGTGATACTGGGGTAGCATTAGGTTAGTTCGTTAGTTAGTTTTAAATCTTTTCAGTAGTCGGGGCTTGCTGTGGGGGTGACTAGTGTCGAATCAAGCAAGAACTAGTAGTTGGAAAAGATATAGTATAAAAATACTATACTAGTGAAAGTATAAAATACACTGTAGTGTAATATATGTATTATAAGTATACAAGTCAAATGTCTCAAATCTCAATGGTTTAATATATATATATATTATGTTTTATGTAGATAGTTTTTGGTTAGAGTTAGTTAGATGGATGACACAAATTTCATTCCAGACAAAATAGTAAACTAAATAATTAATAAACATTTATTATAATATTATAATTCACTGTCACTTCTGCTTGGTAGTGTTACAATGGGATTTTATTGTACATCTCATATCTTTTGTCGAGTTAATTTTCAGTTCTATGGTTTAATTTTGGTTTTTAAAAAAGTCATTCTAACATTTTATTAATTTCTTATTTACATTTGAATATGCACAATGATAATGCTCAATTATAAAAATGCAGCTAAAATCTAGTTCAAACTTTGATCAAGGTATGAGCGACAGGCATTTTTCAGTGGAGAAGTTCAACATATCAGAAAGCACGGAGCTAAAACAATGGACATCTCCCCACCCAACTACGTTGTCATCATCATCACCACCATCATTGTCATCATCATCATCACCACCATCATTGTCATCATCATCATTAGGATCATCATTGTCATCATCATCATCAGGATCATCATCATATGGTAATCATCCATCATTATCTTTAAACTCTACTGTAACGGGCGCTGAAGAAATTTTCATTTGTAATGTTGTTAATGTAGGTAGTGATAAGAGTCCTGCAGACTTCATATCATCCAGTTTTCAATTAGCTACAAACTTTAGCAATGCTTCTTCCAATGGTTACTCTTCAGTACCCAACAACTACAGTGAGAATGAGTGTGTTGTCAGTAACAACAACAACAACAACAATGATAATAATATCATTTTTAATAATCATATCAGTAATTGTAGTAGTAACAACAATATCAAGTTTAATGGCATCAGCATTATTCACCATGACATTAATAATACTAACAACATCGATAACATTGGCGTTAATATGTCTGATAATTTCACTAAAAAATTGAAAAATTACAAAACAGTAGCAACAACAACAGCAGCAGTTAAGAAAAAACCAGCCCCAAAATTAATCCTAACAGCGAAAAAACACACACACATACTGAAACCTTTAACAATTCGGCAGAGAATCTTAAAGTTAAAACTCGCCGGGGTCCACAACATTGACCAAAGATACAAAATAGAATGCGAGGAGATTAGGAAATCTCGACTGAAGTGCGGTTGCGACTGCACTGACGGCTGCCTCGCTGATTGCTCTTGCGCTAAATTTGGGATTTCCTGTCAGTTAGAAAGGGTTTTACCCGATGGTACTGGATACCCTTGTAAATGCACTTGGGGTATTAGTAGTATTAGTAGTAGTAGTTGTAGCAGTAGCTGCAGTAGTACTAGTGGTTGTAGCAGCAGTAGTAATAGTAGCAACAGCAGTAGTAATAGTAGTGGTAGTTGTAGTAGCAGTAGTAGCAGCAGTAGTAATAGTAGCAGTAGTAGCGGTAGTAGTAGTATTAGTAGTAGTAATAGTAGTAGTAGTAGTAATGGTAGTAGTATGAGTTCTAGTATATATAAATATGCCAGTACTTTTATAAGTAGCAATGATAACAATTCATATAGCAATAGTACCATTTTAAATAATTTCACTACTAATAGTGCTACAGATATGAATAAAAGTTATGATGATGGTAATAATAACATTAATAATAACAACAATAATAATAATAATTATGATAATAATGAGGATTTAAAAAATAATTTCATCACCAACACAAATGTTGTAAATGCATCTTATCGCAACAGCAGTAATAATGACAACAATAGCAACATTAAAAACAGCTACACCGACGGCAGTAACGATGCTGACTATAATGCTTGCAACAACACTAACAACAGTTACAAAGACATCAACGACGACGACAAAATTGTTGGTAACATCAATAACACTAATTGCAACGTCAACAATTGCAATTTCAACAACAACAACGTTGTTGTAGACTATAATTACATCAACTCTCTTGGAGGAGTCGTTTGTAATTATGTTAATGATGCCCACAACTGTAACTGTTACAAAGGTCTTGACATAAATATTGGCTACAACGACAATGATGATTGTAACATCAACAACAACGGTAACATCAACAACAACAGTAACATTAACAACGACAGTAACATTAACAACAACAGTAACATTAACAACGACAGTAACATTAACAACAGGCACAACAACAACAACGTTAATAACATGAACTTGTGCAATAACCCCTATGGTAGGTTAGAGTTCGATCAACAGAAAGTTAAAAATGTCGTACAAAGTGTCATTAGCAGGTACGAAAAGATGACGGAGAGATGGAAGAAAATTAAAAAAATGAATGAAAGAACGTGTAATAACAACAGTAACAATAAGAGCATCAACAATAATAATCATAATAATAACAATAATAGTGATAATGATAGTGATGTCAAAGACATCATTCACAAGCTTGATGATACGAACATTTCTACAAGAAACAATAATAATAATAATAATTATAGTAATATAAGTAATAATAGTAGTAGTAATAATAATATTAATAATAACTATTTTAATGTACTTTCTGGTAGTGGTAGCCAGTCAGTCAGTTGTTTGGCTGATAACGTTTACTCTGGCGTCTGGTCATCAGTGACAACAAAGACATCACATGACGCACCCAAAATAACGACAACAACAACGTCGACAATGACGTCATTATCTTTGTTGACGGCAAGAACAACAACATCAACGTCATCGTCGTCTTCAAAATTATACCAGCCAATGCGTGATTGTGTAGATGATGGGAATAATAACAACAACAACAATAATAATTATTATTATTATGGTTATGCTAATATTAATAATAATAATAATAATATTAACCAGAATAAAAATGTTGATGATGATGATGACGATGATGATGCAGATGACAGTAATGACGATTTTTTGATATCATTGAGTAGGCACACCAAAGAGTTACCCATTATAATCAACGATGATGTCATACTTGATTGTGAAGATGACGACGACGATGATGACGACGATGGTTTTGATAACGATGCACTCACCACCACCACCAGTGCAAACACTGGTGGTGGTGGTGATGATGATGATGATAATGATAACCTGCAGAGAGTTATATTTTGCAATAAGAAAAATTTAGTTCATTATTTAAACGACAGTGACGATTATAGTTACCAGGAAATTTGTGATGACGACATCAATAACAACACGTACAACAATAATAATAACAAGTACAACATTAACAGCAACAATAATAATAACGATAACATTAACAACAACGACAATAATGAGAGTACTTACTTCAATGACATCAACTGTTATGACAGCAACACAGACAACAACAATGACAGCATTCTATGCAACAACAACACACTCAAAAACAAATCTCACACCATTTGCAGTCTCTTTCAGCAGAATTTTGTTACATTTCTGCTGAGAAACATACATCAACACTCACATAATACATCTCCAACAAAAACAACGACAACAAACACCACAAAACCGCGTAAAAGAAAATTTACCGAAATTAAAAGTAAATGTAAAAATGTTACTACTGCTACTGCTACTTCTGCCGTCACTACTGGTACTACTATGGCTGCTACTGCTCTTGTTGCTGCTAACCCTACTACTGCTACTACCACTACAGCTACTTCTAACGCTACTAAGATGATGAAAAACAAAAAGATAAAAGTTACTAACACTACTGTTGCCTCTGTTTCCGTTACTAATCCTACTGTCATTACTACTTTTACTGACGATACTACATTTGTAACTGCTAATGCTGCTAAGATAAGGAGTGGTAGCAAAAAAGCTGTTCAAACTTCTACAATTTCAGCTAATATGGCTACTACTACTACTACTACTACTACTACTACTACTACTACTACTATTACTAATTCTACGACTGCTGCTACTACTTCTACTAATGCTGCTGCTGCTACTACTACCACTACTATTATTATCGATGCGATTAATGATACTATTGAAAATGATACTACTGCTACTACTGCTGCAAATTTAACTAATTATGTTCACAACCATGATGACGCCATTTCAAATCCGAACGATTTAACTGTAATCACTTTTACTTCAAACATTTTTACCACAGCTGCTGCTATTGCTACTACAGCTACTGCTGCTGCTATTACTACTAACTCTGCTGATGCTACTACGACTGCTACTAGTGGTATAACTACTCTTACTACATCTACCAATGATGAAAGTTTAGGCGTTAATTTTAGAAAGACAAAAAACAGAAGAAAAATAATTAATGAGTTAAGTGTCATTAATGAAAATAATAATAATATTAATATTAATGTATGTAATAATAATTGTAATAATAAATGTTATAATAATAACAACAACAATAATAATAATAATAAAAGTCAATATGTTAATATTTGTGATAACAATAGTAACATTTGTGATAACAGTAACAGCAAGGCCTGCGATGGTACTCTTAGAAATATATGCTACATCGGTGATGATGATGATAATAGTAATAATAATACTGATGATGGTGATAATGATGATGTCACGAGAGATAATTCATGTCGTCGTGACGTCAGCGCACTGGATGATGCCATGCAAGGCGATGTTATCGTCAACGATTTCATTGAAATTGACAGTACAATTTATAGTAGTAGAGATAACATTATCAATCATAGCATTAATGTAAGCAATGGTAATGTTAACAACAACAACAACGCTAACATTAATACATGTGATGTCGTTGCATGCAGCAACAACAACAACAACATTGGTGACAATATTTTGACGTCATCAACAATCGACAACAAAATGGACAGCAGTACAGCTGGAAACAGCAGCATCGTAATCAATGAGATTAACAACACTAGAAACAACGATAATGTAATGACTCGCGCTGTCTTCAACAACAACACCAACGACATCAACAACGCTGTTAACAATAATGACACCAACAACATTAACAACGTCAATAGAAATAACAAGCAAAGAATGAAGAAAGTTAAAAACCTCAACGAGCCTACAATGGGAATGACCCTTAGAAGAAAAAAATTAATACTCTCTCAGAGTTTTCCAAACTTAACTCAAATTTTACCTTCTAGCGTCAACTCTTCTACAAAAATTACATCAACCAAAACATCAATAACATCAACCACATTTACATCAGCAACTACATTAACCGAGCCGAATACAGCAACATCTCTCAGAGCACCACCATCAACAAAAGCAACAACATCAACAGTATTAACAAGTTTATTAACATCGACATCATCATTAATGTTACCAACAACAACAACAATTACATCAACTATATTGCTTTCAAGTAATGTGGAGACGAAAATAGCAGCACAAAGAAATTTAACACCGGCTAACAAAATATTGATGTTGAAAAAATTGAATTCATCTGCAGCAACAACATCCGTTACGTCACATTTCACAACAGCAACATCTTTATCATCATCTCCTTTTCCGCCTTACTCACTGATGACGTCAACGCCAACGTCACTAAAAATGTCATCATCACTATCGTCATTGTTATCTTTTAGGTTGCCATTGTTAGGTTCATCATTAATCTCATCATCATCGTCACCATTGTTGATGCCACCACTACCACCATCATCATCGTCTATGTCGTCATCATGTTATTCACTATCGCATTCATCATCATCGTTATTATTATTCACTGAAGCTATGGTAGTACAGAGTTTGTCACCATCATCATCATCATCAGCTTTGTCATCAATTTTGTCATTACCATCATCATCTTTTTCATCATCATTATTACCATCGTCATCCTCATCACCGTCACCAGCAACATCAATTACATCAACAACTGCCGTTTCATGTGAAGGAACAAGACCCAAACCATCAACATTGGCAACGTCATCACTGTCATCAGCAGCAGCAGCGGTAGTGGCCGCCACTCTAACATCAGCGGCAACGACGAAAACATCATCGTCAGTGGACGACATCAATATCAGCAATAACAATTCTCAAGAGTATCAACAGAGATCAAGACGGCGCAGACCTAACAACTTGACAACTAGCAGAGACATTAAACGTTGCTATGCTGGTGACATTAATCTAAATAATTTTGACGATAACTTAGATAACATTAAGGAAAATAATAATGCCGATTACCCTAGCAATAGCAACAACACTGACCACATTATGACATTATAGAAGTTTGCATTTTAACATTGAGGCGGTTAAATAGCATTAAGAACGATGTTCGTGATGCTAATATTACCAATGATGTTAACGACAATATCGATTTATATTTCAGCAACAAATGTTTTATGATATTGCATGGGTGTTTATTGAATCGCACATACACACACACACACGCACGCACGCACCACGCACACACACACACACACACGCAGTTCAAATATAGGAATTGTTCTACATATTTACCATTATATAATTTTTAAATTGTTGAAAATTTATTATACTATAAAAATTGATGACTCCTATCGGTCATTACTTTTATTCGTGTGTTGTTGTTTTTAGATGTTGATAATGATTTTATTCAGCTGGAAACTTTAATTAATACATTTAGAATAAAATTGGAATCAATGTTTTAGCGATTTTCACACTACTACTAATAATAATTATTATTATAACGTTAAGAATTGTTGAAAAAAATTATCGGTCCACCGATTGACTCAAAGATTGGCGTAGTTAGCTCAGACGGTAGAAGTGCCATGTCTGGCGCTGCTGATTCAAATGATGTTCGCCCTAAAATTCAAAAACTAACATACGTAACACGCTGTGCGTGTGCGATTTGGTGCTCGCGCGTGCCTACAAAATATGTGTTGGTGTCCTCGTGTGGTGTTGATAGCTCTGCTTTTTTGGCAAAAAACGTTATATATAAGTATAGTAAGATATGAAAACGGTAGAATTTTACACCAACGACATTTTTTAAACCGCAACAATCGGCATCATTTTATTTTTATCATTTTATATATATTTAGTCTTTTTCATCCGCGTCCGTTCAGGTCCGCAGAGTCTTTAAACGCATTCGAGTTTAGTTTCAAAGCGGTGTCAATAACGTAAACTTTAAAACGAAATGTTTCTTCTATAGCACGGGTGGGCAAACTATGGCGAAGCCATTTTAGACATTTTGAAAAAAAAATAAAATTACGGTCGTTAGCCACAAATGAACGTTAGAAAATTTCTCACCCCCAGTCGGCGGTCAAAAAAATGTAAATCTGAGGCCCGTCGAAGATAAAATAATTTTCAATGCGGCCCTTAGAGCAAAAAGTTTGCTCACTTACGGTCTATAATCATTTGTCAATTACAACCTCTGGATTAGTTAGTTACCTGAAGTATGAACGCAACAACACACTCTCCGTGTACACCAATGCGCCTCATTATACGCACATGTTGTATACGATAGGTAGTCATGGATCTCTTCGCGTTCGAATCCAGACCACAAGTCCAAGAATCCATGACTGCAAGACCACCAGGACCGGACCACATGGCGTCTTCGCAATCACGTCTCCCAATTTAATGAATTTATTAATATTGCAACAAAACCAAAAAGGATGTTTAATAAACTTTTTATTCATTCAAAAACAGGACAAAAAATACATTCCCATCAAATAAAAAATAAAACAAATACATACATATACTTATACACCGATAAAAATAAATAATACCAGTTTAAATTATTATTATTACTAGTGACATTAAAAATATTACAAATTTTCACTGTAAGATAACTTTCAACAAATTGTCTTCAGTCATTATAGTACAACCATAAATTTATCAACAAACAGTATTTAAAAACCACGCATTTGTAAACAACTAACCAACATGTGTATGTATTTGTATGTATATATTTGAGACGGACCGAATAGTGAATTTAAACTTTATGAGCTATTGAAAGAGAGTAGGCGATTATTAACTGCCCGACGATACTTTATCGATCGTTCCATCTCACGTTCAAATTCAGAGGTTCGAAGTTACGATGGTCAAAACCAAACTAAACACCCCGCTATAAATATTTAATAATTTTTTGTTATGTGTGTATACATACATAAATACAATATTATATTATT